TCACATAGCCTATTTAGTGACCAGCTAATCATGGCCTGTTGAGTACATAGAACAACAAACTCAGACAGCTTCAACCAACCTCCCAGGGCAGGCTCTAAAGATACCAGAATTTTGCATCTTGGATGGTATATAGAGTCTGCAGATGTTACAGCTCTCCCATAACTCTGCTTTCACCTTTGATCTCAGAATCAGTGTTTCTCTGCTTTTACCCTCCCTTCACCAAGTGACTTTAACAATATCCTATCCATGGTGCTGACTGGTTACAACGATAACCTCTCTTCATTCAATCCCCATCTGCCACAGACTGCACAATCCATATGCAGGCCAGGAATCTATGTGCACTTACTAGTAATAGAACATTATTGCCTTGAAAGCTCAGCTTTACCTGTGTTGGGGGACGGAACAGGGCTGCAAGGGGGAGCCCTATGAGGAATTTGGTTCACTTTGCAGTTCCACCTTTCCTGAATCAAGCACAGCTGGCACTCCCCCAGGCCTGCGCTGGCTAGCGCTAGTGATGCTCCTAGCAAGGCTCTGTTCTTGAGACCCATTTGACTGAACTGTGTGGTGGAAGGAGGAAGGGCTATCAGCCCCTTGTGGCCAGGTATGGCAAACCACCCTGTTCCATATTTTGTGTATAACCTGCGCAGGATTTCTGCAGCATGGGGCTTCTAGAAAGTAAGCTTTCACAAATCCTATCAGCAGTTGCTCTTCTATTGTCTCACCCTACCACATGAACCCTGATCTCAGTCTTACTGGGGGCCCCTGTAGAGAGGCTTGGAAGTGGCCACAAGGATCTGGGAAGACCGTTTCAGGCTGGACATAAGAATTTCTTTACTGTCCGAGCCCCCAAGATCTGGAATAGCCTGCCACTGGAGGTGGTTCAAACACCTACATTGAACACCTTCAAGAGAAAATTGGATGCTTATCTTGCTGGGATCCTATGACCCCAGCTGACTTCTTGCCCCTGGGGCAGGGGGCTGGACTTGATGATCTTCTGAGGTCCCTTTCAGCCCTAATGTCTATGAAGCTATGAATCTATGAAGTGTGGAGGCGCAGGACCTCCATGCTAATGGCCAGGAGACCACACAGATCTTAGAGAAGCCTGCAAAGGAAAGTCCTTGGATACAATGGTACAATGTTTCCTGCCCCCTTTGTGGGAATAGTCTGTTGATTTGCACTCTGCGTTACTCAGGCTGGCTGAGTATGAGACTTGGCCTCCCTGGGGAGGTAGGCTGAGAAGCGTTACACTTTAGCTGCTCTGCAAAAAAAGGCAAAGCAGCATTGTGGCTTACAGCCTGTGGGAGTCACTTGCCACTACACTCCCCTTGTGCTTTGCTGAGGCTGAAGGTGCATATCCCCAGGTCCAAAGAAGCAGAAGCGCCTCAGTATGAGGTAAGGCTAGGAAGTCAGCACCATACTTGAACTGCTCTGCAACTCCCTAATCCCTTACCTACCTCACCAGGCTGTTTTGAGGATCAATAAACTGCTGCTTGTAAGGCCCTTTGGGATTCTCTGAGGTAAGATGGCTTGGAAGGTCTGGGCATTATCAGTTATTTATTAGTTTAGGTGTGGGCCTTATCCAGCACTACTGGCATTTATTGGCCAGTCTGGACCAGCAGCACACCTGGCTACTTTGGGCTGTGATCCACTCAGCCCTACTGATGCTCATGAAATCCAATGCCCTGTAATTCCTGCTGAGCATCTCTTTGCAGATCTGAAAGTGCTCCTCTCCCCTCCCAACCTGTGGAGTCCCTCAGCACGTCTTCTCTCTTCACAGAAAGAGTCAAACACTTGGTTTTCTTTTCTGTCACATTTCTGTCTTCCTTTCGCTCAGGAACAGAGTGCTGTGGTGTAGGACCCAGGAGTGTCTGTGTGACACAAATGCCACTTGCTACCAGTAGCAACAGGGACTAAAGCAGAAGTGTATACATTCTTGTGAATATGGACGTCAGAGATGAGGGATTAACCCAGGCCCATCTTGTGGGCTGTTTTCTGATATCATAGGTCTGGCAGGCTCTAGTCTTGCAAATACTTGAGTGAGAGCCTGTGGCAGCCCAGTAGGGGGTGTTACTATGCTGAGCCACCTGCCTCACTGTGCCAGGCCCAAAATCTTACTTTAGGAGTCTCCCCTGGGGAGCCTACAGCTGGCTGGCCCCTTCCAGGAGAACACCCGAAAGCCTAGGGTAACACTGCCACCATCTGAGCACTGGTCTCAGTTAGGGGTGCATAGACCCTGCAAGCCATGGGGGTGCTTTGTCCACAGGTAATATTTCTGGGTGCCTCTTTCAGCCTGAAGTTTCCCAGGGTAACCTCAAGTATGACTGAGGTAGCATAAAAATAAACAGCCAAGCTCTGCAGGGAGTAAAAAGGCCCCTTTTCAGCCCCTTACAGTGAAAGAGCCAGTCATGCTGTAACCTGAAACCTTTATTGGGAGGTGGGGGGGAGGGGGGAGAGAGAACATAGGAATTAGAAAAACATATTGAGCAAACCACAATCAGTTGAGCCTTATAGATACTGGGTTCAGGGACCCTTTTAACATGCATCTGAATTACTTAGTTCTAATCTACTAGCTAGTTTTCAGGTCTTTACTTACTGATTTATCCAGAGAATCTTTGGAGGCTGTTGCTTGTGTCCTGTTCCAAAATGCCACCAGAGGAAAAGCAGAGAGCTCCTCCTCTCCTCAGGAATTTATCCCACATGGTCACCTGGCTGGCCAGGTTAAACTCAAAGAGCAAGCAGTTGAAAAAAAGGGGTGTAGCTGGATTGACCCAAGCAGGGACAGAGGGAGATTTCTTCACAGAGCCTTCCAAGAATTCCCACCTTGCAAGAACTGGAGTTGCTGCCTCTGTGGGCATGATTCTCTCTGGCCCCAATGCCCTGGGGTAGATGTAGATGCCACTCTGTTCCTAAACATACTATTTTTCACATGCTTGGAGAGGTATAATGTCAATATAAGGCTCCTGTGATTATTAAGAACCCCATAGTACTTTTCTCAGGAGGAAAATCCATTTCAAGCCCTTCCTTCTGATTCTCTAGAACCATCCCTGCCCCTTCAGCAGGATGAAGCATTCCTCCATTCTTGTGCTGGACTACTGTACCTGCTGCTGCTGAATTAATGTGCTCCCCTTCAGAGGTGACTTCTTTTCAATGGAAGGTTAGACATGGTGATTTGGAAGGAACAAGAAGCCAAGGGATGGATTTTGCTGGCTGAATGCTAAGTGAGAAGTACACTGCAGAGTAAGAAAGAATTATACAAGTTTCTGGAAGTGGGCTATATGTTTCTTTTCCTGTAACATCCCCATCTCCTCTTTCACATTGAGAGGGATCCAAAAACTATTAGGCCCTTTCCGCACAGGAGACAATCAGAAAGAACACAGGTCAGTGGCTTGGGAGAGGCCAACTGATATGTGATAGCTGGAGCAAAGTTCCTATGGGTGTCATTGGAGCAGGGTGGGAGTGACCTGATGCTGCAGAACAGATGCAGGGTTTCTTCCTGCTTTTATGCTAGTGGGTGTGCTTCTCTTGCCTTCTTCAAGATCTCTGCACGTCTGAGAAAGCAGGCTTTCAGCTGCTCCAGCATGGTAACATGGCCCATGCCTGCGTATGCATTGGGGATGATGCAGAGGCATCTTTGGAGGCAAAAGGCAGCTTTGGGGAACACCATTACTCAAAGGGAAGCTCACATCTATGGGAATTATCCAGTACATGGAGGCTCTGCCCCCCTGTAGGTACCGTTGTTACAGATCCTTACTAGTGTCTGTCTGGATAGGTCACTTGCTTCAGAGCCCTTCCCAGTCTGTCACCCCTTCTTGCCCAGGTTCCTACCCCTTTGGGCTGTACCCTTGACATAGTCATTGCCCTTCTGCCAGCAGACGTGCTCATACATATTGTGGAGTCAGCAAAAGTGCTGGTGTGTGCAGCTGGGAAGAAGGCAGCCCAGAGGGTGGGGACAGTGGATTCTTCTGTTCTAGCCTAAGCAGGAACCTACTGCCATCTAAGTTGTGGTTTGCAAGGCTGGGGCTTAGCTGGATCAAGCCCCTTCTGAGAAAGATGTACGTCTCTTAATGAACAGGAAAGGCCACCTGAAATAGGTCAGCCTAGGCAGACTCTCATCCAGATTTACTACTATTCTGATAGTAATGGAACCGCCCTCACCCCCTACTGCATTGGAGAATCACCCTTCAGAAGCCAGATGGGTGCATGTGTGGACCATGAAAGGGATGACAAGGCACAGCCATTCAGTAGTGTAACAAGGGGTAAGCGAGAGGTGCACATGCACTGGGCACCACCTGAGAAGGGGCTGCCTCACCCTGGGGCTACTGCCTACCTTCCTCTGCCTGCTTGGTCTATAGTTTCTGGCCCATGAAGGACCTAGTGAGCAATATGTGTAATGGAGCACTAGGCATTCTGGGAAGCCTAGTTTTGCAGAGAAGCAGTGGAGTTTGCTGCTTCTGAGAGGAAAACTGACCCCCATTTTTTGCCACTGAAATCAGCATTTTTTTGCCTTTTGGACATGGGCTTTGGTGGGCAAAAAATGGATGGGTTTTCCCCCAGCAATGGGAACCTTTACTTCCCACTAGAGAACTACAATTCCCAGAATGCTTTGTGCCAAGTGTTGCTCCTGTTTCTGTGCTGGCCAGCCACAGGGGGAGGAGATGAGAAGGAGAAGGAGGGAGATGGGGAAGCGTGAAAGACAATGGCCCCAGATGCATTTTTTCCATACTACACCTCTGCTTCATTAACTGAAGTGTCACCACATGCCTTGGGCAGGAACTGAATCCACATGGATGCCCCAGCCTTCAGCTGTCTGCCAAAAGCCTGGGCACTCCCTTGTGCAGGTCACAATACACCTGCCTCTTCGGGGTTCCTCAGGTTGATTAAAATTTACAGCGCAGCTGTCAGCCGTGATGGCAGTAGTGCGGTGGGTCACTAGGCAGAGTGGAATTTGTCTCCACAGCTAACACTTCCTACATTTGTTTCATTTTTTCTTTCTTCTGCAGCTCCTCTCTGCTCCTGGCTCCAGATGCCAAGTGGAGATGCAGACAACCTAAGATGGCCTAGGGCAAAGATGCAGCAGGTCTTTAAAAGGAACAGTGATGGTGAACCTTAGTCCAGGAAAGCTAAACTGCGCTTGGCACGGCCACAGAGATGTGAGGATGCGCTGCTTTATAAACAAGTGACTGCACTTGGCAACAAATTCATACCATCAACAAGTTACCTGAGACTTACAACCCCTGCCCCCACTACACAACAGGCACCACATGGAGCTGCAGATGGAGACACAGTCTCTCGGCCCCAAATTAGCCCCTTAAGGAGAACTTCAGCTCTTTCCTTCAGCCTGGTACCATTGGGATAATACCAGCAGCATAATCCTGACTTACTGCACTGGGGCCTGTCCCAGCTCTGTAGCTTCTCTTCTACTACTGCAAGGGCAATAGCAGCTTCCCCATGCAGCCAGGGAGGATGCCTGCTCAGATCCATGCCATGGTCTGAGGGTGCAGCGCCACTTTGGGCCTTCTGCTTTGCCAACTAGTGCTTGAACAACTGTCTCAGTCATAGGCCCTGGAAAACAGCCCTGCTTGACCTTGCAGCTGTGGTGCTGGGATGCAGGCAGCTCCTTCAGGTCAGCTGCAGTTCTAAGATTCAGAGATGGCCCCATGAAGGAATAGCTGTATTCTGTCCCAGCTTCTGCTAGTGTCTAAATGACCTCCAGCAGCCCAGAGCCTGGCCCAGCTGTTACTGCCCTGTTCTATGCTCTTGCCCATAGCTAGCAAGTCCAAGTAGGACAGAGCTGGGCTAATGGCAGGGTACGTGTAGATGCAGTTTATAACTGACCAGATGCTGTGAATCAGCTACTGGCACAGACTGTATACACACATGGCTGTGGCAGAGCATAGGGATCAGCTTCTGCTCAAGTTAAGGCAGTGAAGCTGGGCATGCTGAAGCAGCCCAGGCAGGCTTAGTCTGTCTGCGTAGGTATAGCTATGTGGCACAACGTAGCACCATGGCAAGACACCCAGGTTAGCTCTAGTGCAGCAATCCACATGAGCTCGTTTATCCTGCTTTTTCAGTCAGGGCTAATTAGGCTAGCGGAGTGCTGTGCTCATCTAGCTTTGGTACCGGAACTAACTCCCAAACAGGGTAGGTTGGGGATCTCTTCATGGCCCTACATTGTGCTGTGCAGACACCCTCTGCATGTGCTCACAAGAACAAGTAGAACCAGACAGATCACCACCTCCCACAGGGGCCCTGCCCAGGACCATACAAGCTGAGGATGGGCTGAGTCAGTCCTGAAGCAGCTCAAAACAAAGGACTGCAGTGACCTGGCCTCCAACTCTTCCTGTTCTAAACAGCAATCATTGCCCCTTGATGCCAACTCACACAGATGGGAACTTGCAAGGGTTCTGCCTAGGGCAGTCCAGCTCTGTGTCTCCACCTCAGGGAACCTCATTAATACCTGGGTGGGAGCAGGTTGAGGAAGCCCTGCTCTGGGATTCCAAGAGGGGAAACAGCTTGCAAACAGGCAGGGCTTCTGACTTTAAGCAGCCTTCTCTCCCACACTAGCTAGGAGCTAGGGGCCAGAGCCTGATTCTGGCAGCCAGCAAGATAGAAGCAGCTGCCCTTGTAGTTCTAAGCCTGTACATTCTAGTTCAGAGTCAGTTATGACATGGTCACTGGGGAGGCCCAGGTGCCCTCCCCTGCAGCTGCTGGTAGCTTTGGTGTTCAACTGCACTGTAAATAGACAAGCTAAAACCATTAAAGCTGCTGAACATATGCAGAACTGGTTTTATTTGGACACAGGAACTGGGTCTGAGCTCCTGGCAGTAGGGTAAACTCTCAGGAACCCAGTCCCCCAGGGGGCAGGGAGTGGGACCATGGAAGAACAGCTGTTCTGCAGAAGCAGCTCCTGCTGAGTCCAGCAGGGTGAGGCACAGCTACTGCAGCCCTTGATAGCAACACCATGTACTATGTCTGTCTTTACCATTTCTACACACTTGGAGAAGAAGGTGATTAGGAAGTCAGCATGAATTTACAAAGGACAAGTCATGCCTGCCCAACCTGACTGCCTTCTATGATGAGAAGATTGGCTCCGTGGAAATCAGTGGATACAATATACCTTGACTTCAGCAAGGGTTTTTGGTTGTAGCTGCATTGGTCTAAGGACATGGGCAGGCCAGGTTCTTTGGGTAGATGTGATATCTTTTATTACACCAACTGAGTAGTTGGGAAAAAGGGTTCTTTGCAAGCTTTTGGTGCAATCACCCTTCTTTAGGCATAGGGAGTTTCTTCTGTTCCTTTGCCTGAAGAAGTGTGATTGTCCCCGAAAGCTTGCAAAGAATATTTTTCCAACTACTCAGTTGGTCTAGTAAAAGATATCACCTCTACCCAAAGAACCTGGCCTTGACTTTGGCAAGGCTTTTGATACAGTCTTCCACAGCATTCTTGCAAACAAGCTAAGAATGTATGGGTTGGATGAATGGACTGTAAGGTGGATAGAAAGCTGGCTGGATTGTTGGGCTCAAAGGGTAGTGATCAATGGCTTAATGTCTGTTTGGCAGCCAGTATCAAGTGGAGTGTCCCACAGGTTGGTCCTAGGGCCAGTTTTGTTCAATATCTTCATTAATGATCTGGAAGATGGGATGGAGTGCATCTCAGCAATTTTGTGGATGACACTAAGCTGCAGTGTGTAATAGATACACTGGAGGGTAGGTCTAGGATATGACAGAAGAGTCCCATGCACCCCTACAGGCTTGGGACCAACTGGCTAAGCAGAAGCTCTGCAGAAAAGGACCTGGGGCTTACAGTGTCCAGTAAGCTGAATATATCAACAGTGTGCCCTTCTTGCCAAGAAGGCTAATAGCAGACTGGGCTGCATTAGTAAGAATGTTGCCAGCAAATCAAGAGACGTAATTATTCCTCTCTATTCAGCACTGGTGAGGTTGTACCTGGAGTACTGTGTCCAGTTTTGGGTCCCCCACTACACAAAGGATGTGGACAAGTTGGAGAGAGTCAAGTGTAGGACAACAAAATGGTTAGGGGTTGGGGCACATGACTTATGAGGAATGTGCCCCAGCTGAGGGAACCAGACTTATTTAGTCTGCAGAAGAGAAGACTGAGGGGGGATTTGATAGTTGCCTTTATCTGAAGGGTGGGAAGGATGGAGCTGGACTGTTCTCAGTGATGACAGAACAAGGAGCAGTTTCTTCAGTTTTAGCAAGGGAAGTTTAGGTTGGATATTAGGAAAAACTTCCTGACTAAGAGGGTGGTGAAGCACTGGAATAGGTTATCTAGAAAAGTGGTGGAATCTCCATCCTTGAAGGTTTTTAAGGCCTGGTTCAACAAAGCTTTGGCTGGGATGATCTAGTTGGGGATGGTCCTCCTTTGAGCAGAGGGTTGGACTAGATGACCTCCTGAGGTCCCTACCACCTCTAATTTTCTATGATTCTATCCTGAGGCTAGGCAGAGGGACAAGTTCTGCAGGGAATGACCTCTCAGCATCTGTTAAGAGAAATATATAGAAATGCCAGCTAAAAGCATGTGAGCAAGGGAGTTGGGGGCAGGGAACAGGAGCCTCAGATACCTGGCTCATGAAGGGCAGGATCAACTCTCACAGGACAGCAGGGAGTCACACCACATGGGAGCACGGCAGGACAGAACCTTTGGGGACAGTGCCCCAGCAGGCTGGAACGCAGGAAGCAGACAGCTGGTACCAGGCATTTGGCCCCTTTTCAGACTTCAGGTGAAGCACTTTCCACATGGCGGCCTCTGCTGGAGATGTCCCCAGCAGGAGGGGAGAGGAGAGGGGGGACCTGCCACTTCAGCCCTCCTTGGTGCTGAGGGAAGAAACAATCAATGTCTAACAGTGCTCTGTTTTCCCTAAAAGACCCCTGCAGTCCTTGTGTAGGCACAGTGAAGACAGCCAGGGCAGGAGCAGAGGCTGTGGGGGACAAACTTGCACCCTATTGCAGCTACAGCTCTGCTGCTGGTTGTGGAGAAGGGCAGATGCTGAAGCAGCGGGAAGCTCGTCCATCCACGGGCTCTTATAACAGCAGTTTGGCTCAGGTGACTTGCAGGCTGTGCGCTCAGCTCCAAGCTGGAGGCATTGGGTTGTTCCAGAAGGAGCCAAAGGATCTGCGTCAGGTCCTGGGAGCAGTCAGCTGAGGTGTAGCTCAGGCTCAGCTTCAGGAGCCTTGGCAGGAGGGGGAGGTGGTGCTCTAAGCTGTGGAGAGACAGAGAGTGATCACAAGGCGCTTTAGTCCCTGGTACAGCACTGCATCTGCTCAGCTTGGCACTGGAACACTCTCCCCACATCTCCCACCCTTGGGGCACGCTGTAGGATTCACCAGGCCTCTCCTGCAGAGCCAAAGTTAAGTGAGGCATCAGTGGTCAAGGCCTTCTCCCAGCGTTGGGACCTGTGACAGCAGAGGGAACAGCATGCACAGCAAGCCAACCTTGAGCTACTTGATGCAGCAAGCTCTGCAGCAGCTCCCAGATGGCCATGCTGAGGTGTGGAGCAACTGTGGGAGAGGCAGGAAGCAAACAACAAGCATATTTAGTAGAAGGACTGGAAGGATTACAACGCAATGCTAGCACAGGAAGGGGAGGGGCATGCAGGTACCAGGGGAGAGGGACATAATGACATTTGAGAGGAGAGGATGGGGGGCAGAGAGGCATTTGTACTTCTGGGGGCTCATGAGGTGAGGCCCAGAGAAATCCTGTTCTCACACTCCACTTTGGGGGCAAAAAATTCTCCCAGTCACCCCATCCTGCCTTGGTCCAGAACACTCTTACTGGTCGGATACGTGCAGCAGTCAGGTCTGGAGAGCTGTGCTCACTGGCTGTGCCATCCTGCCTGCAGCCTAGAAAGACAAAAAGGGTTAAGGACAGGACACACACAGTCTTGCTCTCTGTACAGGCCAAGCACCCTCCCCCACTTCCCTCCCTAAGATGCATTCAAACCCATCTCCCTGTACCCTCCCTATTCCAGCTTCCCACCAAAGACACCTTATAGACTTGGCAAGGTTATGGCATCTCCTAACAATATCCCTTCCACCAATAACAGCTCACAGAAAAAAAAGAAACATGGTACTGCAGCCAAAGGGCTGTAACCCATGAGGCACTCACCTCCTAGCAGCACTTCTGGAGAAGGACTGGAGCCCGGCCTGGCACCAGGCAGAAGTACTGGAGGAGAGAAAGCCGGAGGAGATGGTGAAGAGAGCTCCTGGAGATACAAATGTAGGGTATTAAAGGGCAGCAGCTGCCACAAGGCTCACAGATACAGAGCTGGAAACAGTGCAGAAGAGCTTTGGAGACAAGGCCAGGGGGAGACTTCCTCATGTGGAGCAACAATCTATCTACATGTGAATTGGGTGACTTGGCATTAGCAGAGGTGGGAATGCATTTTGTTTGCAAGGCAAAGGGAAGGCTCTAGCCCCTCCTGGGCATGCCATGTGCGTGGTTCTCCAGTCCTGGGCTCCCCCAGCACATGCCACTCTGCCTGCTCTGGGAGGGGAAGGGAACACAGGACTTGATTGCACTGAAGACCTGAACTACTTCTGTTCCCAGTTAGCTGAACAGGCTGACAGTGCAGTTCCAGCACCATTTCAAAGTGTTCTGGACCCAGTCCTGGGTCAACTGCATGATGCTGGGAGCTGAGACTGTCACAATGCAAATTTGGCCATCAGTCTATCCTAGAGGAAGACAAACAGAACTGTCCAGCTAGCTGGGGCATGGGGACACAGAGACCAACCTGCCCAGCAGCTCCTCCAGCTCCTGTTATTTCTTCCACCACCAGTGAAGGGAAGACCCCAATGCGCCCATTGAAGTCTCCTTTCCAGAAGCCGTCATCCACATCCCCCTCTTCCCTGGGTAGTACTTGGATTATGGCTCCCTCAGGGAAGGTCAGCTCCTCAGCACTTTGTCCCTCATAGTCATAGAGGGCTCGGACCAGCCACACTATGGAGAGAGCAGAGCTTGCATCAGGGAGCAGCACACTGTTGCTCAGCACCTAACATACACCAACCCCACCTGCCCAGCTCAGCTGCTACCACCTGGGACAGAACTTGGCATCTTGCCACCTTGGAGAATCCTCTTTAGCCATTTCCCATATTCCCAAATAGTCCTTGTCCTGCTGAGGATGGGGATACTGAAACACACAAGATAGTGGGTCCCTGCTTTGGGAGGTATTAAATGCTCAAAGCTGCGGTCAGAATCAGTAGGAACTGAAGACACTCAGCATCACTGGAAATAAGATTCTCAGGTTGTCCTAAATCAGGCATATGAGGCATTGCCAAAGGCCCTGGGGGAGACGGTCAGGAACTGTGCCCATTTCTGTGGCCAAGACACAAATCCATCCCTCCAAGCCAAAATGCAGGATAGGGTCAAGTCACAGAGGAATGGCCACAGCAGGGACACAAGGGCTGATAGGGCAAACTCCTTCATTAACATATAGAGCCTCTTACATCTGCATAGCCTTGGGGCATCTCCTACACACAGACAGCCCCATTTATCCTCAGGCCCTTACATGCAGTCCTAGGAAACCCAGCAAGCCACCCACCTCCTGGCTCCAGCACCAACTCTGTGTTCATGATGTTCGTGAGCTCCCTGTCCACTGCAGTCTCAGAGGGGCCCTCCCTCCAGCTCCCAGACCTCTGCTCATTCCCCATGGAGTCCAGCACCAGCAGGTACTTCTCAGGTATGTAGCCAATCTGTCCCACCTTGTTGCGCCCCTGGAGGTGGCCACAGGGCAAGAGAACATGAGTTAAGAATCTCAACAACACGCTGGTGCTGGAGCCAGCCCAACTGCCCCTGCCTCAGCCTCACTGTATCAGGAGACAGTGGCCAGCTTCTGAGGCCAGGCAGCAGTGATTTGGTGGTCTGCTGGCTCAGCACCAGTGCCAATAGCAGTTCTCTCCCAACCCTAGCCCAAGCCACAAGCAAAACACAGTGGGGAGACAGACCCAAGACAGCCAGATTTTAAAGCCCACCCCAGAACTGCTTCTACCAGGCAGAACAGATTGGACAGCTCCTTCCTTGCAGTAGAGAGCCTGAGATGGTCCCTCACCTGCCACACTCCATCAAACGTGTCCCAGCTACCCTGTACCCACCTTGACCCACTCTTCCATGTCACCATCCTCAATAACTTCGAGCTCCTCCCCCTGGGAGATGGACAGCTCATCAGCTTGGCAGGCCTGCTCAGGGACACACAAAGTCACAGTACAAATCAGCAGCTGTGCTCCCTGCAGCCAGGGGAACGGCTGCCGAACCCTTGGAGAAGTGCATTACCAGAGACTAAGCACAAAGAGTACCCCCTGCCCACGCATGGTGCCAGTAAATATTTATAAGTCTTGGAGATGAGATCCTGATATCCAAGCATGTAGTGTTGTGCAACAGGTTCTTTGTGTGTATAGTACCAAAGGCCCAGGGAGATGGTGCCCTTACCTGGTACCCAAAGATAACCCTGCAGGTGTAGGGATAGGTACGGGTAGTGCCAGCGCTGGGGCTTGTATCCTCAAACAGATCCACATCATCATCATAGTCTTCAAACTCTGCCAAATCCAATTCTTCTGCCTAGCAACAAGCCTAGCATCAGAGAGTGCTGTGTCCAACCAATGTCACCCACCACACGGAACAGCCAGATCATGCAGACACAGGTCCTGACACAAGTACAATCATCCCTTCCAGTCCACAGATTCTTTGTTTAGGCTGCACATACTCTAAGAGCCTCTTCTGCCCAAACAGCAGTCCAGCTGCAGATGAAATCCCAGACCTCCCTCCTGACCCTGTCTTGTCCTAGCCCAGACACAGGGGCAGCTCTCACCATGGTGGTGGATTCTCTGTTGGACTTGCGGGCTTCACTCAGCCGCCGCTCCTGCTCTAGCTCCTCCAGTACTTGCCCCATGGCTCCTGACAGCCAGGCATCCACATCAAGGCCAGTCTGGCGCAGCAGAGTCAACCGGGCATCAGCCTTCACTTTGCTGACCTGCAGGCATGGAGTATGACTGCTTGTCAGTCCTCACCTCAGCGTTGGCGGCACTTTTCTCAGGGGGTACACTGCAATCTCAGGGGGTGCACGTGCACCCACGTGCACCCCCTACACGTCACTAATAGGCAGCACTGAGCCTGCCACACCCCAGACACCACACAGCCACAGCCTAAATAAATTCAAAGGGTAACAAATATCTTGAAAGGAAGGGATTGTCCCCCTAGCTGCTCATCACCCCACTCCCAACTGCCAGCTAGTAGCACACGTAGACAGGTTTAATTGCTACCTAGAGTTAGAGAAGAGCAAGCCTAGCAGGGTGCTGTAGACCCCAGCTTGGGGACCTTAGCTTGGCATTTTGTGTTCTATACAATAACACTTTCCCCTTCAACCTAGTGACTAACACCATACCAAGCCCTCAAACTTCCTCCCCCTTGCCTCCACTACTGCATTGAGAATGCTACTCCACCAGGTCCTGCTCCCATCCCTGCCATACCACCATCTTTTCACATTCTGTTCACCCCCTCTGCTCAGTAATGTCCCAGTTCTCCAGGGATAGTCAGAGAACTCCATTATACCAGCAGCGTCCAGCCTAGGGCTGTACCTGCCTGTGCTTCAGTTCAGGAACCCAAAGCCCAATGCACACATGGTGCAGACAGGGCACACAGACCCCCAGAACACCTTGCCAGTAGCCAAGACACACCTCTGCTTTCCGGACATTCTCTCGTACTTCCTCCATCCTCTTCTCCATGCCTGCCACCTCTGCCTCTGAGGCCTGCTGCCTCCTGGCTTCCATCCTCTGGAGCACCTGTACAGGCACAAGTTATAGTGAGTCACCAGACATTCAGAGAATTATAGAAAATTAGGGTTGGAAGGGACCTCAGGAAGTCATCTAATCCACCCCACTGCTCACAGCAGGACCATTCCCCCTAGGGGAAGTGACAAGCACTTCGTGACCTTTTGGCCACCTATTTTGGGGGCTCTTAACCCTGCAAAGAACAAGCCATTCTGTTGTGGGTTCCCTTCTCAGTTACCACAAGCTAAAGGAGCAGCTCTCCCAGCTGAGGCCAAAAACCCATTGGCCATAAGCCCAACGGGAGTGTCCTAGGGAAAGGCAATCACTTAGGGTCTGGAGACATAGATCCAGAACTTTAGGTTTTCCCCTTGATCTGACACATCAGAACAAGTTCCCCATCATCTCACCACATGATCCTCCTGGTACAGATGAGAATTCTGGGAAGCTCTGGACACTCACCTGTCCACTATGAGTCTTTATTTTATAATCTCTGGCTGTTCTGGTGGCCCATCGCCGTGCCTCCTTCTCCAAGCCACTCTCTCCAGCGCTGCCACTTGGTGGTTCTAGAAGGCATACCTGGAGAACAGCCCATCATGGTCAGAGTATGCACCTTCCACCTGGGGCTCTGGTGCTTCCTTCCAGCTCCAGGAAAAATGGCCAGCTGAGGCTATGCCAGTGTGGTTGTGGGAAGCTTAGACTTCAAGCTTCACAACCCCCAACACCAAGTGAAGTGACCTCCTGTTTTACCTTGTTAATACCCTCAGGCTGGAAGTGCTGCTTGGGCATTAGGGTGAAGGCGGTGTGGTCCTGCAGGAAGAGGAGGAGGTTCTGCTCCCGGCACACCTGTAGTAGCATAAGAGAGTGAGGGGGTGCTTTGGGGAACAGAGAGCAAAATGGCCAGGGGCCATCTCACAGCTTGTCACCCAGAACTCGGAAAAAACTGCCATAGGTGCAGGAATCAACAACCCGGCTGCTGCAACTCCCTTCCTCATGCACAGGCACACCTGGCCTGTAGGTAGTGCTATGCCATCAGCTGGAACTTGGGGGGCAGCCAGCAGGGATGGATGCTGTTACCTGTGTGGATGCCTCCAGGACCCCATGGAACCGCTCTTGTGTGATGTGACAGGTCTCAATTTCTGTCTGGCTGATAAGGGTCATGTGGTCCCGGAGCCACTCATAGAGGTCACCATCCAGGGCCTGGGGAAACCAGAATCCAACACATTACAGTAGGGAAAAGACAGAAAGAGCACCACTCCTCTGAAAAGCCCTCTGGTTCCTCTTCCCTTACCAGGAGGTGTCCTCAGGGACCTGGAGGCAATCACATGAATTGGGGAAGCTGGCAAACCTACTCAGAGGTGCGAGCTTCTCTCACTCCAAGTCAGACAGTTCAGGGCAGAGGGATCTGCTGAGGTAAAGGCCATCCAGGTAAGGGGCAAGAAGACCAACTGACATTCAGAAGGAAGTGGTCAGCCTTACAAAAGGGTTAGCTGGGTTTGGGCTGATAGTGGCCTGTGGCTGCCACACCAGCACTCAGGGCCATTTCAGGGAAAGAATGGAACAGGACAGGATGACCAACTAGTTAACAGGCTGGAGACGCAGCTGAACTTGGGAAAAGCTAGAACCTCTCCTAATTTCCCTCCCCATTGCATCAACCACTGGCACACAAGTATTTGAGGGACTTCCCAGCTGCTCTAGCTATAGCACCTCTCAGCCAGGGTTGCTGTCAGGAACAAGGTAGGAGTGCTGGCTGCAGCGGGCATATCTACCTATTCTGGTCTCAGCCTCTCTACAGGTGCTGTGGGAAGCAGGCATGATCATCTGGTGAGGTAAGGGGCCCTCATCGCCCCAGCCTTCCCCAGGCAGCCTGCCATGGGCTAATGAAAGACTTTTCTGCACAATCTGCCCCACTGAGGAACTGGAGAATTTCTCCAGCAGAGCACATCTTCCCTCCCTCTGAGACATGGAGCTGGGGCTCCCCGTTAGCAGTAATCATGGACTCCCCCCTCCCTTCCCTGCATCACCAGGGCAGGCAGCAGAGGCCCATGGTTGCCAAGATGTGCAGCAGAGGAGGGTCCCTGACTGCAGTAGTACACAGTGCAAGTACAAGGAAGCAGTGGCAAATCTTCCAGAGCTAAATGAGACCCCTCTGTTCTCAAAGGCAGATCCAAGGGAGCAGCTGCATATGTAGGAGATGTAACCAGACCTCGCCCAAGCACAAACAGGGAACTTTGCCCCATTAAGGCATCAAGTCTCCCAGAGCCAGGGGTTTGCAGGTGCTTTCTAAAAGGGATTGCTTTTGAACTCCAGGGCCCTCAATTCTGTCACAGCAGAGACACCTGCTGCCAGCTCCTGGGAACCAAAGTTGAGCAAGAACATCTGTCACAGCGCCACCCTTCCCTTACGGACTCAGAGCTCAGAGCTAGAGACAGGCAGTCAGGCAAGTGCTGGCAACAGAACCCAGGATTGAGGACAGCTAGACCCCCACTGCTTTCATGAGCCATTGGAGCTCATCCCTGGCCCCCACACTGCCCTGGAGGCAGGGCTGAAGGGAACCCATGAGCACCTCAGGTCAGCTCTGCTTGATCTGAGGAGAGGAACTAGCAGAGATCCCACCTTCATGACTGAGGGCAGCTCTGTGCAGTAGTAGTGCTCCAGGTGGGCATTTGCAGCCCCCAGGGTCAGCAGGTACTCATTCTGTGCTGCTGCGAGCCGCTGTGCATTTTGTGCCAGTTGTCCAGAGAACTGCAGGGGAGGGAGGAAAGGAAGGCAGGCAGCACCTGGGTAAAGAAGCAGGGAACAATGCTCCACAGAACCGTGCCCCCACCCTGCCTAAACCAGCTCCAGATGCTACCATCTCCTCTGCCAGCCTGCCAAAAATCAACTCCTAATCCTACAACTGCCACTACAAGGACTTCCTCCCCACAGCTCCATGCACACCCCTCCCCCAGCAAGCTTTGTATCCAACATGCTTCTTCTCTTCTCCTCCCCTAACCCCAACCCCTCTCGCGGGTTCAACTGTCTTTGAGCTCCAGTCTCACCTGAGATCACCAAAGAGCATGGGGTGGGAAATCCAGAACACTCTGGGATGCCAGAGGACTGATATTCCCATTCTGCATGCCCTGGCTGGAGAGTACCTCTGCCACCCCATTCCCATTGACAGTAGGACAAAAACCAGTCATCTGACCAAGCCAACAGGATGCCCAGGACACGTGTTTAAAATTGGACTACCCTGGTGAAAATGGGATGTATGATCTACCTAACCCCACTGCATCCAGAAGGCGCTTCTCACACTGGATCCCCAAAACAAGCTGGGAAGCTAGGAGGTAGATGACTGTAGTCTCTGACCTTGTTGCTGAGTTTCTGCAGACTGCCTTTGGTATGGAATATCCCGTGGTCACTCTTCTGGAGTCTGTGAAAAAGGACACAGGCGTCTGTTACCTCAGCATGGCAAGTGCCTTTTCCCCATTCCCTATCCAACCACACCAGGGATGGTGGCCCTATCCTGAGGGAGCCCTCTCCTGCCCCACAGATCATTCTGCCACTGTAGCTCAGCCACACCCCCTCCCCAGGGAGAAGAGAGTCTCTCCTTTTGAAAACAGGGGTTGGGGTCATATGCTTGCAGACCCTTCAAACACCTCCAGCACAAGGTGCTACACTACTGTACCCTCTACCGGGTCTCCTTTTAGGATCACCCTGCCCTGGTCTGCATTACTGGTGGAAGCTACTTACCGGGCCTCCACATCAGCTGCCTTCTCCTTGGCCACCTCGCTGACCCGCTGCAGATGCATAAACTGCTTCTTGGACTTGCCAACCTCCTTCACAGTCTCCAGGAACTCTGCCTGCACCTTCTGCAACTGCTCCATGCTCTGAGGCAGAGAGGGGAATGAGCCCACCCACACTAGCCTCACCCCCATCCTGCTCCCCCTCCCTCTCCCCCTCCAGCAGTGTGGTGTTCTTGCCTCTTTCTGCCAACATGACCCTCCCCATTTCCTCCTCCTGTGGCCAAAAATAGGGATGAACCCCATCAACTCTAGCTCCCTCCTACCCCCTTTCTCACGTGTGGTAGCTCTACACTCTTGACTGACACAAAGGGCCCCCTGTACCAACAGCCACTGGGGGTGTTCCCACCATCCCTTGCAGGGCTGACATCTACTCTCTGCGGAAAGTACCTTTTTGAGCAGGTGCTCCTTGGACATGCGGGTGGTCTTGGCCACCTCCAGAGCCATGCCACGGTAGTTCTCTGAGGCTGTGACCCTGGCCTGCCCCACACACATGGTGCTGTCAATCACGCCCTTCCAGACTGCAAAGGCACTCCTGCGGGGAATTGTCACCACAAACAGTCATGATGGCACCTGCTCTTCCACTCCTCGGAGCAGCTCCCCACTGGCCCTTTCAGGAGATGGAGCCCTTTATTTTCTTCCCCTTCCATGCAGTCAGTTGCAGGCATCCTGTGTCCCTGCTGGCCCTGCTCCAGCCCCTCCCCTCAGTACATACACCTGGAAGCATCCCTTGGCTCTACAGGGCTAGGGGTCCTTTTTCTCTTTAAAAAGATCGCCCAGGGCTACTCTTCTCAGCCTAATCAAACAGGCTTGTTCCTACAGGCTTGCAGTCCCACATTGATCCAGGGCCATTATGCTCCACTGTATTCAAGGCCCAGCCTGTCAGGACCACTGAACAGTGTCTCATGCATCCATCTGCCTGAGGCTCCCAAGCCAAGCCCCATCCTGCACACAGCTGAGTCAGCCACACAAGCAGCACAATCACTGCTTCATTCTGTCCTTTGGCATCTCTTAAGAAGCCTGACCCAGGAAAATGGTACCATTAGACAGCATGCAGTCACCCCCCACCATAATGCTGGCTTGCTTCTCAGGGGCCAATGCAGAAGAATGACGAGGGCTAACCTTGCACAATGACTTCCTTGTGCCCCCTCACTCTCTTAGCCATAGCACAGCCCTTAATATTACAGATGGCAGTTGCAGCAATCCTCTTGGATACAGGTACTTGCCATATTGCCTCTGCTCCTGATCATCATAACTCCCCCACATCTCTGATCAACACCTTTAGGCTAATCCATCCATCCCCAACATGGCCCTTTACTTCCCCTCTTCCTTACCGGTCTGGCCTCATGGACCCACTGCTTCACCTCTGTTCCTTGTTCCCACCCAGCCTTCATGGCATGGTCTTGCTGATCCCTCTGCCACTGGCTTCTCCTTCTCTTCCAAGACAGGCTACATTAGTGAGTCAGGTCAGTGCCACCTCTGAAGCACTGCCACTCCCCAGTACCTTCATCTTCCGTCCTATCTCCTCCTTGCCTTCTGCCAGAACCCTGACTCTCCAGATCCCTGCATGCAGAGCTTGGCTGCCTTTCATTACCACAGGAGGGGATGCAGTCACACCATCCTTAGTCCAGTAAACACCTCTGTCTTCTAGCTTACTGCATGAGCTGCAAGACAGGGGGATAATGGTCCCCAGTTTAAAGTCCTGGAGGGGAGGGACCACTCTCCCTGTTTCTTATACCACCCCCACTGTTCATTTAACACTGGTCCTTACATAGACCTCTCTCTAATACAAACACTGCAGTGTTAGAGCCTTTTCCTGGCAACTCCTGTTGCATGAATCAAGTTCCTTGCATCTATGCTTGTCAAGTCTTGCCCTCCTCTCACAGCCAAAGATGCCCCTGCCCCTCTTCCCCCCCTCCCCCGTATAATAGAAAGAAATTCACTCTGGACATCACTAGGTGGGAGCACATTTCACCCTGGGGCTTGAGGAAGCTCACAGTGTGTCTGCACTGCATTCTGTACACACATGTGCAGAGTGCACTACTAAGCCTTGCCATGTTTCACCACCAAAGTGGCTGTGGTGGATGAGAGGATCTTACATCAGTGTCACTTGTTCTGCAGAAAGGGCTGTCTCTGAGGTGACCATGGCAGCTTTTAAGAGTGCATGGGCTTGGGGTATGGGAATCCAAGGAGAGTTCCACAGCCAGTTCATACTGGTTTCTACTCTTTAGCAGTACATGTATACCATGGGATCTAAACCAGGATATAGGCACCCTGCCCCAGATGTTCCCACACCCCATGGGACTTAGCCAAATTCTCCCTGACACTGATACTCCTTGGGTACAGCCCAATATAGACACACACAAACCCCAGAAATTCCTCTGGTATCCAGTACACTTTGCCCATAACACCCACTTCTCAGCCTGGCTTAATTTCTATGGTTCCACAGCAGGGCAAACCTGTCCACTCCAGTTCCCCTGACTGTGGTGCTCTCTTCCTTTTACAGCCCACTCTGTCCTCTGTTTGTTAAAATTTTCTCAGACAGGATTTAAAAAAAATGCAGTTTATAGCGTGGTAAAGTCCACATTTAGGCAACTTTAAGTAATCAAATTTTCAAGGGCAGTGACCTCTGGCATCCTCTCCTGATTTGGGGAAACTGCTCAGTGTTTGGCACTGTCAGAACGTCAATGATGTAGAAGGGCACCTGCCAGGGATCTCCGACGCTCCGCTCTCAGCCTGAACCATCTGGGACCTCTCCACAGCCAGTGCTCCTGCTTCCCCCTCCAGCACTCCCTGCTGGAAGAGACTGGGGCTGGAGTAGCCAGGAGCTCACCAACAGCCCGTGCTCCTAAACTGCTCTTTACAGAGCCTCCAGCTGGGAAGTCTAGGATTAAACTGTGAGAACTGTCCCTATGGCTAGAGTTTGCTCACAGCACCTCATGGTGACAGAGCAAGAGGCCACCCCAGCACTATCTGCCTGCTCCCTGGCCAGCTGTCCCACCTGGAGTCGCTGAGTTCACTTCGGCCCCGCTGCCAGTCTCTCTTCAGGAACTGAGTTGCCAGCCTCTGGAGTGCCTGCAAACAAATATGAGGTCACTAGGGGTTGGACTTGAAGATCTACAAGGTCCCTTCCGACCCTACTTGTATGATTCTATGAACTCCCCTCATCTGTTTTGCCCAACCAAGGGCTCTACCTGGAGATCCTGAACAGCAAGGGCAGAGGGATGCTCCCTGACAGGACTCATGCTTCTACACCAAACTCCTCAACCTGCTGGTTCAACAGCTCCCCACTCTCCGGGCCCTGAGACCACAGCTCTCCTCCTACTGTATTGCAGCCAAAAGCACCAGGAAGTCATTCCCCATACCAGATAGCAGGGATACAAAGACAGCACTAATCATGGCTTTACAGGTAGTCAGCAGAGTACAGGCCCAGACCTAGGCACTCCACACCCCTTTCCTTCCAGTGCCTCCTTCAGGGAGGGGTAAAAAATGGAGTAATGAGGAGCAAGCACTACTGCACTTCTTCCTACAGTGCCTCCTGCTGGGAAGGCCTGGGAGCCCCCTGAAACCAGATCTAGGATACTGTGCTCTGTATGACAGTAAGTAAATAGGCAAGAACATATTGTGATTGTGTGGCTTTTTCACTTTTGAATCTGTTATGGACTCCTACAAAGATGACATGGAAGAGAAAGATGGAGGGAAAGCAAGAGGACAATCTGAGCTGAAGGGAGGCTAGCAACAAGTCAAGATGGAAGAAAGCAAAAACAAATGCACCTATAAAATGCGAAGAAATCCTAGCTATGTGGGTGACAGCCAAACTGGAGCATGCATGAATGCACACACACACCTTAAGCAATTAGAAGCCTCCTCAGGGCAGGGCAGATTGCCAGCCTTCAAGACAGGTGACAGAAACAAACAAGAAACCCTGAAGTCCACAAAGAGCGCAGCAGCATAGCACCTGCAGCCACAACACAGCTCCATGTCTGCCTAACACAATGTCCAGGGACTTTCCCAAATACCTGAATTGTGCTGCTGGAGCAATGCATTTTACTTATGTGTACCACTCTAAAACATAGGCCTTGTCAAGCCTGTGCCATCCCAGAGCCAAAAGGTTTGGCATCCTGCGCCATGACTTTGGTGATGTTACCTGTTTGGGCTGAGAGGCCTTTGGGGAGGCAGACAGGTCAGCCTGTCCCAGCAGGTACAGCCTAGCACCTCTGTGACTTTCATCACTGTGGTTCAACCCTATTTGTGAATTTCCACCATCGTAGAAAAAGCTGCATACCTCCTCCCCACCTCATGCAGTTGCTCTTATTCTGATGTAAACCACTCCTTTGTCACTTGGGTGGAATTGGACAAGATTAAGTATAACTGAAGTAGCCTGCTTTGTAAACAAAAGCATCCACACAGGGATTGCACCAACATAATTACATCAGTTTAAAACCCAACTAAAGTTAAAGCGCACTTTTACACATGCAAGCGCCACAGCACCAGGTGCTTTGAAAAGTGCCTGGCGCTGCAGCGCTTGCAGTTGTATAAGTGGTGAAATGCGTGTCACTGCTGAGAAAATGGCAGCAGCACACTTTTGAACTAAAACACGTAGACAGTGTTTTAGTTCAAAAGCACACTGCTGCCATTTTTTGTGTGCTGACATGCATTTTGCCGCTTATACAACTGCATGTGGAGCAATGCAGTTCACATCAACTTATGTGCAGAGCAGACTCGATTAATCTGTTCCGAAGCAGTGGATGCTCGGTGCATCGTGGGACAAAAGGTATGTGTATAAATGCCCAAGTGATACAAGCTTTCCATGTAGAAAAAGCCCAATAAATAGATGATTCATGTAAGCCTACTGGAAGGTTGGCATGCTCTCCTCCAGAATGGAATCCGTTCATCCAGTGAGGTGACATGCAAAGAGTACCAGAGAGGACAGCAGGAGAGAGCTGAACCACCAAAGTCTCTGCCTGATGCTGGACTCAACAGAGATCACTCCAGGTAAGATTGCCAGTGTGCATGCTGTGTGGCTCCACTGCAGCAGCTGTGCTGCCATAGCATGAAGTGCACCCTAGGAAGATATCAGTTGCTGAATGGACCATAGCAGAATCCATGATAGAAACTACCATGCTTTCTGCAAGTTGGTGGCAACCATCTTACTCCACTAGGCAAGAGATGGTGCAACTCTCTGGCAGAAAGAGGGCCCCATCACTGCAGAAAAGCTTTGGTGTGGGTATAGAGTTGTGCCAGTAGAACTGGAATTCCACTGGCATGTCTGCAGCCTAGAGTAGGCCTAAGGGTACAAGTCAATGACCCTCAGTGCTCACAAGGGTTCCAGATCTTGTGGTCATTGGAACATCTGCTGTTCTCAGGAGCCTCCTAGTATAGGTTTTACTATGGAGCTGCTGCCAAGAGTCTGCCCAAACAACAGCACTGGAAAGGCAACTGTCATCCATAAAGGCAATGAAAAAATAAAGGAGAGAGGTAAGAGCTCCTGCACAAGCTGAAAAGCCAGTGATGTTCCAGAGACCAGAGTAATTTTGAAACAGCTTGTCCATTTAATTTGCTATGTTCCAAATTCTTCTCCTCCAGCCAAGACTAAGAATAAGAAATTTTAGGCATAGAAGAGGGTCTGAGGAATCTGAGAGAGTATCAAAATTCGTGCCTCCCATTTCAAGCTTGGTGGAGAATAATAAGCATAACACTAGAGTGAACATCCAACAGAAAGGCTGCCTGGGGTCCTGTCTGGGCTATTAATAACCTTGCAGGCCAGATAGCTTTGCTGACAACAGAATGATTTAGGTTAATCAAGGCTGGAGAAACCCAGCTAGGTAATGGGATTATACACAGCAGATGGCACTGAGAGACAGGTGGAACACAACACACAGCAGACAGCCCGCGCTGGTTACTCACGAACTGCTCAGTGAGGAGTTAGCTGTACCCTCCCAGGACAGAGACCTAGACTTCAGTGTGAATGGCTCAGTGAAGACATCTGCTTAGCACCCAGCAGCAGCCAGGAGAGAGAAGATGAGGTTAGATTAGATCGGGGCAAGTAGGCAACAAAAGAGAAAGGATTTCATGCCACAAGGCAAAGAGGCAGCACCTTTGATGCTTGACCACTGTGCTTGGCTTACCACCCATCTCACAAAAGAAAAGGTCCAGACCCAAACACAGGATGGTTACAGCCTTTCAGAGGGGGATGGCAGGAACAACCATGTCTCTTTGGAAAAGGAAGAAATGAGAGGGGATGCCCTACAGGAGTGCACAGTCCCCTTTGTGTTCCCAGCCCACTGCCAGGTCCCTATTCTTTGGGGGAGTCCCCAGGACCATACCCTTTACCAGACACATATGGGTATCTCAGAAGGGGGCACTCTGTCTCTATTTTATGCAAGCATGGACCCCTCCTTTCTGGGGTGCTTGCATATCTTCTCAGGAAGGAAGCCTGCATGCACGTCTGTCCTAGAATGTTCCCAGGACTGGTGCCCTGCTGTGCTTCCTCTCTTGGCCATGTTGCTGGCTAGCAGAGCCTACACTGCACTTACAATCTTCTGTTCCTAGTGCAGCCATCTCCACCTGGCCATCTCCACCCTTTCTTACACAAAGTACATTTAAACAGGACTAGAACGCCTGTCTCCATCAATCCTCACGCATCACCACAAGGAGTTCCTGCTTCCTTTTTAATTAGCATTTTTCCAGTGCACCCATGGTGTCTAAACCCCTTTCTCTCTCATACCCCAGCTGGTGAAGCCCACAGAGCTAGAATGCTGGCTCACACTTGCTCTCTCTTACAAAACCAAGCAGCAGGAATACTACTTACCTGGTATACCTATCACTCTTCTTGCTTCCTGTTCCTCTCTACATCAACTCCCCAGGCATCACAGTGGTTGAATCATCTCTTATAAAGGAGATTTTCATAAAGTCTCAGCACCTGTTCATCTTTCCTGGAAAGTCTGAGCCTAGCTTTAAATCCTGAGCCCACAAGTTTCTAGCTGTTACTGCTTCAGGTTTGTTCAGTAGGCATCCATCTTATTGCCACAGTTTACTCTCCTCTGGCCAATTCAACCATACTTTTCTCTCAACTAGTCCAGATCTTTGGGGTGTTTTCACTCTCTTTTCAGCATTTCAAACCTTCTTTCTCTCTGTGTTGCCTCAAGTTCTCTCTCTCTTGTAGGCTCAATATTTGTTTTTTTCCTTGTGGGGTTTAATTTTGGGATGGATTGGTGTTACTACCTTTTGAAGCAGAAACAACATGCCAATTTAAAGCAATTTAATATCAAACAAGAAATGCTTGAGAGGGCCAGTGAAAAGCTCTTGTCACCCAAGAACAGGGGGGCAATGAAATTAAATGATTAATATTCTAAATTAATAAAAGCAAAAGCTTCTCTACAAGGTTGTTATCCTATGAGGCTCATTGTTACAGGATGTTTCTGAGGCAAATGGCTTAAGTAATTTCAGAAGAAGTACTTTGTATTTAAAAGGCCACAGTGTGCAACAAACTTAGTGAGGGAAACAAGTGAATTGGGCAGTAGAGGCAGATAACATTTTTCAGCTAAAATTACAAGTCAACTGAAATATTTTGTGAACTTGTGTCTATTTCAGAGAACTGTTTCAGTAAAAAAAACAACCCTTAAAACATTTTTAAAAACCTGAATTTTTTTTTTGACATGTTAAATTAATATTCAATGTGAAATAATGTCTTGTTTAACAATGTATTTCAATTTTATTTAAAAAATAAAAGTTAATTTTGAAAAAAAAAGTTTTGTTTACCCACTGAAGTACCAGAAATCCCATTATTTTGCACAGCACCAACTGGCACTCTTCCAAAGTTTCATCAATCAGAAGGACTGTAGTCATTCCAGAGATGTCCACAGGAAATCCCACTAGCACTTTATAAGGCAGTCTGTGGACCAAGGCTGTGGATTCTCCAGCTTCCGGGCTTGAGCAGCCTCAGCCAGGCTCAGCCAGTAATTTACTTCTTTGGGGTAATACTGCATAAACAAGATATGCGTCAGGGGCCCTGAGCCAGACCCATGATGCATTTGAAATAACAGAATCATAAGGTTGGAAGGGAACTCAAACATCACCTAGTCCAACCCCCTGCATCAATGCAGGATGCATTACTCGTACCCAGACCAGACAAATGGCTGTCGAGTCTCTGGAAAGCCTCCAGTTCAGGAGATCCCACAACTTCCCTGGGCAGCTTATTCCACTGTTCTCCTATTGTCAGAAGTTTCTTCCTCCTGAAATTTAACCTAAATCCTCTCTGCTACAGGGTCTGCCCTCAGAATAAGGCAGTTCTCCCTCTTCTTTATAGCAGCCTTTCAAATATTTGACAATTGCTGTTGTATCCCTCTCCCTCCATCCTTAATCTAGGAATGATGATTCCTATATTTCTATTACAAATGAAAGAGATTGATCAGGGTGAGGCAAAACAGGAGAGGGAAATCCAGATTAAAAGGAGGATACATTATCAGAGAGGAAGGTTGTGATTTTGCTGAATGAAGGGCTCCTATTTGGGTCCTACTCCACAGTCTACTGGTCCCACAAATAGCCCTTTTCACTTCACTGAGCCTGGATGTGGAAGTGACATACAAACTAAATTACTGCAAAGAACTTTTCTTGATATTGTAGTTGAATCTATTACCAGGTTGGGTCTCTAGTGTCAGGGGTGAAAGCAATCCAACTGAAAGGCCCCACATGCCCCTGTGCAGAAGAGGAAGAACATGACTATTTCTAAGAGATATACTCTCATGCATAAGCTAACCAGAAGCAAAACTGCTTGGATAGGAGGGAGAAGCGTCAGGAGAGGAAAAATAAAGGCACCGATGCCAACTTTCTTTTTTTGTGGGGGAAGGGGGAAAGGGAAGGGAGGAGGGGAACTCCTCAGTCTAGTGACACCAACTATTAACTAGTCTCTCTCCAGGACTGAGTTCAGACCTTTGGCAATGGGAGGAATGAGCATAAGTCTACTGGGAGAGAGCTTGGCAGAGAGAAAGTGAAGCTCTCCATTCCAAGGTGCCAAGCAACTTGATTTCCAGAGTGTGGCACATCACACAGCTCAGACTTGGCAGCCCAAGCAAGTACCAGCTGACACCAGGGAAAATGTCACTGCTGGGCGAGACAGACATCACATCTTATTAGCTTCAGTAACATAAAGAACGGGGGACTAGTACACTGCTGTCTGCCTGACATAAAGCAAGACACCTCCCCTCCAGAACCAACACAGCCAATTTAGATAGATTCTCTGAACTACAGCTGAGGGGGCACCTTGTGAAATATGGGAACTGAAGCACTTGGTAACCTGTAAGATAGGGGTCATGTAGCTTTATTCTCACAGTGTGACATCTAACCCCAACCTTGAGCTTCTGTTTGAAGTGGACTCAGAACAGACTGGACTCCAGCCATGTGGAGGCCTTTCCTCACATACAGTCAGACAGATTCCCCATCCCTTGTGTACAAACAAACCAAAGCCTGGAAAAAGTAAATGAACACTGTCATTTTTTTCTACCCAGAGGAGGTACTGTGCTGTGAAAGACGTTTTGTGGACATCCCAAAGTCAGGAAGGCTTTTAATTTGAAGGTGGTGAGCCTGGCTGATCCTGTTCTCCTCTTAATAGTGAGATGTTCTTGCGAGCTCTGAAAGATGACAAGTGGGTCATGACTAAGGATGGTGGCCAAAATTTGTCTTTTTATACTCCCTTCAAGTCCTTTTGTCAAGGTCTGTTTTTACCATGTTATGATTCAAATTGCTCACACTTTCACTTGAAAGAACTCAGCAAAATCTCTTCCTAAAAAGCAGTAATGAGGAAAAGCAATACAGCTGCCTCATCTTACCTGCCCATACTCCCTTTCAATGGCAGCTCTCTGCTTGCTATAGGACCTGCAGGGAGAACACATGATAAAAGCAACACAAGTATATGCAGCATTGCCTGTGCCCCAGGATGTGCTGAAGGCCTCATGCATCATCTGTCAACACAGCTCCATTGCAGCTTGCCCATCTTACAGTTCCCCACGTATCTGCATCCCAATTTCACTTCAATAGGCGCATCTTGGGGATGACCTGCAGGCGAGCTGGCAATACTTCATGGTACTTCTTATTTCCCAATCATCCAAACCAACAAAACTCAAAGTCACTAATGACTAGAAGTTGGTACCATATCATGGCTACTCAATAGCCCACAGGTTGGATGTGCTGGCAAGTCTCAATTTAGTCCACAAGCCACCATCACAACCAGCACTAGGACACGCTGAGCAACAGTATCAGCAAAGATACCAAGGAACAAATGGGCGCTTGCAAGATGATGAACCCTATCAAGACAGCCTGGGGAAAGCCTGCACTGCCCCTGTTCCTTCCCATGCACAGAGAATGGGATCAGGCATATGCTGAGGAGTGGACTGCGACTGTAGGTAGGATGATAGGGCTGGAGGCTCACTGGACAGGGATACACTGATCCAATGCCAAGTTGGTGTCCTTACCTAATGTCCTCCAAGAGCTCTGTGTCCCGTTGTTGCTTGTTCTGCAGGCAGGACAGCTGCTCTGCAAAGTGCACTTTTACCTCCTGGCTCAACTTCACCTGCCAAAGGAGTCTGTATATCAGGATCTGCTTTTCCTGAGCACACCACTCCTCCCGGCCCCAATGACAGGTACCAGGAGGCTACTCAGCTCCGGCTGCAGACACACGCCAGCTACCGCGGCGTCTGGCCCCAGTCACAGCAGAGGAGCCGCAGGTTGGGGCGGCGCACGGGCAGCGACCCGGGGAGGAAGGGCAGGGCCGGGGGCACGGCCACCGGGTGGCTCCGGCAGCGCAAACCAGCCGTCTCCTCGCACGCGGAGAGGCTCGCAGGGTCGTGCGGCGCCGGCCTCGCCACGCAGCCCGCGGGACAGCCGAGCACGCTGC